CCCCCCTCCCTTAATCTAACCCAATTTTTATCCATATCTCCCTTCTTAAGGTCTGTTGACTACTATTCTTCTCCTTCAGATTTCATTTTTAAAAAGATCTTTAGAATACGCACTCTGCATAATCAGAATAACAGGAAACCAAAGAACAGCATGCTTTTACACCCCAGGCAAAAGTGGATCCCTTTTAGTTTCCCAGAGTTGTTCATTCATAAATCTTTCCCACATATTTATAATAGTCATTTACATGTACTTAGAACTCTACCCTTTAATTTTTGTAATGCAGAGAGAAGCATTTGAACTATATATGTCATGAGGACACAACATAAATAACTGATTTATTGTATGGAGATTTTCAGTTGTTCTCAGTGATTTATGTATGTTCAAGTAGTGTTTAAAACCAGGAATCCTGAGACATGTTCTCAAGCTGTCCTTTTACAACTTTTGTCTTTAGACTGTTTCCACCTGATTGCTTTGGGTCATATCCTTCTCTAATTTAAAGTAAATTTTTTCTAATGTTTTAATTACTAGATGACATATCTAATGGAGAAAGTTTATAAAATCATACCACACTGTAACTGAAAGGTTTTTATATGCCTGGATATAAATCATGTTGTGCCGTGGAGAAATGTCCAATTGCTTTGGAGGTTTAGAACATACTAGGTATAGCTTCAAGAAAGTTCCTTCTGCTTTAAGTCCTTCATGTTGAAACATTCTAAGGATTTCATACAGTGTGCTTGACCTAAATTGTCACCCAATAGTAATTCTCCTTCTATTACAGATGGGGTGCCAAGTTAACTGAAACCGCTTAGCTTACACTCCTAAAGTCTGTGCTCATAGGTCTAGCTCTCCAGTGATCTTTGTTTGAAGTTCATACTCCTGGCCCAGTTTTTGGTAGAGGCAGCCAGTCACCTACCTCAGAAACTCAGTCTAGCCCAGAAGATTTAGTGGTCACAGTGGTCCTTGCCCACGCTTTCTTTACTTCCACTGAAACATCCCCCATGCTTTCTCATTCCCCCTTTCTGTTTCCCTCTTCTGATCTTTTGGTTTGGGCAACAGCAAGTTCATTGTGTATTCAGAGATTGAAAGACAATGTTACAAAATAACGAGGAAAAATGTGAACATTGCAAAGCTTGGCAAAAAAAAAAGAGTAAAACAGAAGATTATTTTACTATAATTAAAAATCAAACTTAAAACAATAAATATCAACTTTTCTTTGGTAACGGCTAATTGAACTTGTCTGAAACATGAGAAACTGAGTTCTTTTAAAAAGGATTTAAACCTGCTTGTATGAGCTCATCCTGTGGTTGTTTTTCTAATTAACACTTCCCATTCATGAATATTATATATACAGATGTGGGATTTGTATTTCCTAACTAAGAACTAAAGAATATTACTTAACTTCTAGGCCATACGAAAATAAAACCTACCTTGCTGTTGGGAAAATGAAGACATTAATGCTAAATGTGACCGTGTTCAATGCTGGAGATGACGCTTATGAAACAAGTCTGCATGTCCAGCTCCCTGCTGGCCTTTACTTCATAAAGATCTTAGACCTGGTAAGCACTGAAACCACAGTAGTAAAATGTACTCAGGTTTCAAAACAAATATAAGTGGCATATTGACTCCATTGATTGTCAACAATTGGAGCATACGTCTGATATTTAGGTATCATTCAGTATCCACTTATTGCGAGATGTTCCAGCCCATTGCTCTATAAGACAGGTTCCTTAGGATCTAACTTGAAAAGTGTCAGCTTTGTCCGCCTGGTGTTAGAAGTAAAGAACTGCCTGGGTACCACTACTTTAATACTTGTCACATGTTTTTAAGACACTATGATCATGTTCCTCTTGAAACAATGTTGTTCCTCCATGCCAAATACCCAGGATTACTGCTCTTTATTTTCAGTTCAGATTCTCAGCCCTCTTCTATTTCTGAACCAGCAGCCTTCTACCTGTCCTGAAATCCTGCAAGCTAGGTCCTACGCTGTCCTTTGACCAAAAGGAGTACTTATAGACATTGTGTTACCACTGTATCTCAGTTATGGGCACTTTAATCCATCAGTGAGGTGTTAGTAAGACTGAGTTGTGAAGAGAAGTACTTCTGTTGCATTTGCCTTTGAGATCTCTCTGTGCTTTAGGTGATTATTCTTGGTGATCACCTCTTCATGCCAAGGGCTTTTGAGAGAGACCTTTACTGCTTACAAGTAGCCACTCACTACTTTGTCTAGATCATTGAGAATTTACTTCAAAAGGAAGAGGAGAAACTCCAATTATGCAGAGAATGTATTTTGATATATACCTATTAGTATTACAATTACTGTGATTAAATACTTTAAAGACATTTTCACATATACCAAACAGAATGAAATATGGACCTATGGATTCCCTGCACCATGATGTTTCAAGGAATTAGATTTTAAATTAAATGGGAAACAGGAGAGCTACACATCTAGGAGTACTTACACAGATGTTAGAATAAAATATTTCATATATGCATACATTTGTAACATTCAGATTTCTACTCACTAGCCCCAAACTAAACAGAGAAATGGTCTCCTAGGAAAGTATTTCTGGAATGGTTTTCTTTTTAAAAACCATCCCATATTTTTAAGTCCACTGACCGTTAGTGGAGTAGGAATCAGACATGACTAGCCACTGAATACATTTTTCACATTGACTCACTTAAAAAATATGTGATTTTTTTTTCTGCTGAATTTGCTTTGCAGCCAAACAATTTTCCCATTTTCTTGTTTAAAACTATATCAAACAATTCTGTTTTAGTGTTACTTAATATGTAAAATGTTTTGCTCTAAATAGAATTAAAACAACAACAACAACAAAAAAAAATCCCTAAACATGTTATCTTATTCCCTTCCTTCTAAAACCAACTGCTTCATTTTTTCTTTTAGGAAGACAAACAAATGAACTGTGAAGTAGCAGACAGCTCTGGCTTAGTCCAGCTTGCCTGCAGCCTTGGTTATATATATGTAGATCGTCTCTCAAGGGTAAGTAAGCATTTATAGTGTTTATGATTTTTTAAATTTACTAATATGAATATATTTTTCTACTTTTACTTTATGGTGCATTCAAAAATGTCTTTGTGAACTAGTTTTGAAGCTAAGTGATACAATGAAAGCAAAGCTAACTTGTCCTGAAATCTTTGAGCTTTGTGTTTATATTCTTGGCAATGTTCACTATTTAAGGGGGGGATGGGGAATGTGTTTATGTCAAGATGGGCGAGTGAACCTGTCAATCAGAATTCTATTTGCCTGTTTATTCTTTCCCAACACTCCCCCCACCCCACCCCAGGTGGCCCTGTCTGCCAGGCATGTTACCTCTGCTACACAAAAAGGTGTTTTTGGCAAGAGTCCTCAGCCAAGTTGTTAAAGCATCTCTAATTTTGTCCGTCTGGGCCTTCCTGTCTTTACATTCAGAGAAGGCTTTGTCTCTGAGTGTGATGTGTGAAAATGCTTGTGCTTTAAAATTGCCTCAAACCCAATAGATTTTGTGTTTTATTGCCAAGTGAGGGGTAGCTTATGCCTTTAGAATATTAAATTCTGTGTTCCTTAGGAAACAACAACAACAAAAATTATTAAGGAAAACTAAAATTCAGAAACAATGTATTTTAGGTTTAAAACTGGGTCTTTCTTTTCTGTTTTCCAGATAGATGTTAGCTTTCTCCTGGATGTGAGCTCACTCAGCAGAGCCGATGAAGACCTCAACATCACAGTGCACGCCTCCTGGTATCGTTCACTGTAAAAAAATAAAAATAAAAAAAAATTCCTAGTTGAAATGCACACCCATATTTTGAGGAGAGCTTTAATGAAGCTGTGTTCCATTAATTATATAAAATCATTTCTTTTACACAATCTGTAACAGAAAATCTCTCTAGCATTAGAAGCAAATGGCAACAGCGTAAATATGTAGAACAAATTTCTATCAGTCCTATCCTCAAACCATCACACTATCACATCTCTTTTTATTCCTACTCCTCCCAAAATTATTAAATGAATCTCTGTTAGGCACACATAGTTTGCAGTACATTCTCTCTGAAGGTGATTTTTGTTCTTGATGGATTCTAATGAATGGTTTGTGTTTCTCTAGTGAAAATGAAAATGAAATGGACAAAGCAAAGGACAACAAAGTGACATTAGCAATACCTCTAAGGTACGAGGTTATGCTGACTGTGCATGGGTAAGTAGATATACAGGCCTCTGGATTAGAGAGGATTTTCATGGCTATTCCTCCTATTAATGAAATAAGTGTGTTTGAACATGTTTAAGTGGAAAGGATACTGTGTCTGCAATCACCACAGTGTGCAGCTTCTTGATTAGTGGTTCATTATTTTAATCCACTCTATAATCAGCACTGATACTACATCAAACTCATGGCCAGCTGGTGAAGATTTCATACTGGAAGAGTCCCAATAAGCTTCTAGCAGGCCATAGTCAGCCTTTCGGTTGCAACCCAAGGGCACAGAGTTATGCAGTGTGCAGCTTGCAGCCTCCTACCCAGTGACCATAGCAGGGGTCAAGTTCAAAGGGGTGTACTCTTGGCTAAATGATCAATCTCCAGAGCCCACATCTACCTATGTGTCAGATAATGGAGACGTGAGAGCTGGATGCGAGGTGTCTTGGTCTATTATTTTTCAAAAAAAAACAAAAAATGGGTTCCATGCTTGGCACAGTGGTGCATGCCTTTTATCCCAGCACTTGAGAGGCAGAGGTAGGTGGATCTCTGTGAGTTCAAGCCCAGCCTGGTCTACCTAGTGAGTTCCAGGCCAGCTGGGGCTACAGAAAAGAATTCAGATGGACTCTTTCACTGGGCTTACTCCAGGTTACAAGATATATGATGGAAAATATTGTTTTGAAATTTCTTATTTTTCACTGTGGGGCTTTGCTGTTAATGTCAACTAGAATGGCAGCTTCAGTACTTCAGAACTGAGTTAGGGTTGTCAGTGTGAAGATTGGTTTCCATTGGATAGGAACTGAGATGTATCCCAAATACAGATTTTCTCTTTGCCACTTACTGATAACATCTGCCAGCTAATAAAGATGTAAGGTCCCAATTCTTCTAAAACAGTTTCTAGTCCACTAATGTATATTAAAATAGGTAATACAGGAAAGCCCAAACTTCATAGGAAATTTCTCTAGGAGGTCCAACTTCTAAACTTAGTCAGATAGTTACAGTGACTGATAATTTTCAAAATATTTTGCTTCCTTTGATGATGGTATGCTATGTCCAAAATTAAAATGCTTTTGTGTTTGGTGTGTAGCTTGGGAGAGTACTTGGCTAAGCACATGTAAGGTTTTTGGTTCAGTCCCCAGTACCGACATCCCCATCCCAAGGATCAGTCAAGTATTCTGTCAGCATGTTGTTATCAATCTTTTAAACAACAGTAGTCTGGGATGTAACCATAAACCTGCCTGTCCATATAATTAAAAAGATTATTGAAATACTCCACAGTAGTCTGTCTGCTGCCCTTTTAAGTGCAGGTGTTGCTCTTACCCACTGTTCTGTGCGCTCTGCTTTGCACAATTGGTATGCAAGACCATGGTAAGAACTCCCTTGACTATGTTTGAAGTATTACAAAAGGCAACTTCTTAATCTATGCATTTTGGGGAGTTTTGAAATTTTACTCCCTGAAAAAGGAACTGTTGTGAGAGTTGGAAACTCTGCACCTATATGTATATATTTATATTTTAGCAATAAAGCATGGACTGAGAATGCACTGAAAAAAAATTTATGTGTATGAGTGTATTGTTTGTATGTGTATGAGTGCACCCATGTCCACAGTGGTCAGAAGAAGATATCAGACCCCCTGAAACTGGGGTTAAGGACAGTTGTTAGCTGCCATGTGGGTGCTGGGAGCTGAACCTGGGTCCTCTGCAAGAGCAGTCTAAGAGCAGTGGCTCTTAGCTACTGAGCCATCTCTGCAGCCCCTCACTTTGTTGATTTTTGTGATTTTAGTAATTTCTTAGTGGATCCTCCTCTGATTCAAAATGCATGCAGGAAGAATGAAAGAGGAACAGAAAACCTACAAAAATGGTTTCTGTGGCCATTATCACGGGTATTAGTCTGCATTTAAAACATGGTTTTGTTTTGTTGTCTTTGTTTTTGTTTTAAGACAGAGTCTCTTGCTGTAGTCTAGGCTGGCCTGGAACTTGTATAGACCAGGCTGACCTTGAAATTTTGGTGCTTTCAAGTTCTGCCTCCAGAATATTAGAATTACAGATATGTGTCAACATGCCCTACTACAATGGCAGTTTAAAAACACTAGAAGATATGAAATACAGAACAAAATGGACAAATGAGCTTTTGCTGTAGTTCTAAGTATAAACCACCTCCACCCATCATTTGAACCACTCATGAAGAAGGCATCTACTTACATAAACATAAAATGTCAGTGTCTGAAACTGATGGAACTGAGTATCAGTTGTGTGGGGCAGGGGAACAGAGGTCATCTCAGAAAACAGTCTCTGAGAGTCAGTGAGAAGGGAGTCAAAGGTGATGCATGTCTCCTGGGTTGAATACCTACCTGCTTCTCCTCATCACTTTTTTCAGGATCAGTGTCCTCCTCTTTCCATTTTTCACATATTATTTGGGATAAAGAATGTTCTACAACTATTAAATTGTGCAAGTCTGTACCATTTGCGTATTTCTAAACTGTTCTGTTTCATGGGTCCCTGATGAGGAATTATCTATTATTCTCTGCCAATTATGAGCGACTTATGAAGTAGGGCCTGACCCAGATGTTTCCTAGTGTTTGTGCTGACCATACATTTGCCTAATCACAGGTTCAAAAAGCAATAAACTTGTATTCTAATAAAAACCTTTACCATACAAATAAGTGTTTGCTTGTTCACCAGACTTGAGGTTCATCATTACAGAGTCATCAGAAAATAATAATCAGGTCAGTTTGAGCTAAAGCTGTGTGAATTGTTTTAGGGCTGAAAAAGAATGAGTGGTCAGTAGATTCTTTTGGGTTTAGATTTTAGTAGATTCTAGTAGATTCAGCCAGGCATGCGTGGGAAATCTAAGGAAGGGATGTTGGTGACAGTAACCATTATCATGCAGGTCTTCTCATTTCATTAGGTATTAAAGTTTTTATCTAATCAAGAAACCAAAAGTATTCTGAGGTGCCTCCTAAGGATGCCATACTCCATCTATAGAGAAAGACTTTGTATCTCATCAAGCAGGACAATACATTAAATTTTACTCTGTTCCTGTCAGGTATGTGAATCCAACTTCTTTTGTGTATGGATCCAGTGAGGAAAATGAGCCAGAAACATGCATGGCAGAGAAAATGAACTTCACTTTCCACGTAAGCAAAGTTGTTTGTGTTGATATTTGTAACAAGTGAAAAGGACGCTACTTGTTCTAGTTTGCCTTCAGTCGCTGTGATAAAAACACTGACCAAAACCACCTCAGGGAGGCAAGGGTTTATCTGGCTTACAAGCACAGTCCATCAAGAGAAACCAAAGCAGAAACTCAGAGCAGGAACCTGGAACACAGACCATGGAGTGCTGCTTACTGGCTTGCTCCCCTGGCCCATGCTCTTCCTGCTTTCATATACAATACAGAACCATCTACCCAGGGGTGGCACCACTCACAGTGGGCTGGGCTCTTCCATATCACTCAACAATCAAGAAGATGCCCCACAGTCATAACCACAGGCCAATCCAATGGAGAAAATTTCTCAAGTGAGGGTCCTTCTAACCAGGCATGACAAGTTGAGAACTAAAGCTATCCAGCACAACTGATACCTTGCTTCAAGGGAATTCCCATCTCTGTAGTGTCTTTCAGCCTCAGTGACTGTGGCTGGTTTCAGGGACTGCTGTGCTAACCCCTTCCTTGAAGCAGGCTGCTGTTTCTCTTTTCCCACATTTCCTTATTAGACCTGGAGCACCTGAAACAGGCAGGGTTTGTCATCTTTTGAATCTTCTTGAAGTGTATTCAAGACAGTCAAACCAAAGGGATACATCAGAGATAAAGGGATAAATTGGAGAATTATACAAGCTCTTTAATAGCTCTGGCATTATCAAGGAAGCTCTTACCTGCCCTTTCTCCATGATCGATATGGTTAATCTGCCTTCGAGGCCACGGGATTATGACTGGGAACAAACACTTCATCTATATTTAATAGCCATTTTTAAATTTAAAAAATACTATCATAATAGAGAAGTATAAATATACTGATGTAAAACATAGCTTAAAAACTTAACTGCTAAGTTGAAGTAGCGGTTGTATCACAGATCTTAAGAAATAATATCTACAAAAAGATCTTTCTAATCAAAAGCACTATCTAAATATTTTCAGAGTTGTATAATAATGTATAGGATGTGAGTCTTGGAGTAGGTATGACATTTTAAAACATAATTCAAAATGAATATGAGAAGCACTTACAGGAGCTATCCAAAACGTAAATTCCTAGGGCCTGCTCCATATCTGTGGAAGAAAATGACCCTGAAATCCCATCAGTTCTGTTTCCCTGTGATTTTTATTATATCACTTTTGTTACGTCACTTTATATTTCAATGAATGTTGAAAAAATTTTGCCTTCTACTTTGAATATCTAAAAAATACTCACCAGAACTCAGCAGGGGGTTTGCTTTGCTAAACTAAAACAGAGATCAAGCTGGATTCTAGGGGTCCTATTTATTAATTTGCAGTTGATACTTAAATATGTTGCAATTAAAGTACAATCAGTGGTGTGAGTTAGACTGGAGAACGTTGCAGTCCGAAGGTGTGGGGCGTCTGTTCCAGCACATAGGTGTCCTTGGAGGTCTGACTGCTGTTAAGGATGAGAGATGGCGCATGATTGCTTGTCTGTAGCTCTGGGCGCTGCTGGTAGCCATGCCGGTGTTGTCTTCTTCCACTACTAGTGCTGCTGTGTCTTGGCACTTACTCAGCACCAAGCCTAGGGACTCTTGCTCTTCCCCATGTCACATGTGTTCAGATTACTGCAGGTCCCGTAGCCACCCTTTCATCCAGGTGTTGTGGTACATCTTAATTTTTTCTATTGGTTTTATCATTAAGTCCGTGACTAAGCAAAATTCTGGCCCAATATCCTCTTCTTTCAGAGATCTGTTAATCCCTACATTTATCAAAAGTTATGAAATATTATCCTCTTAGGTGACTTATGAAGAGGCATTAATAACCTCTTGTTTTATTTTCTTGAAACCAAGTAATATACCATTTCCCAATTTTCTGAATGCATTAGCATCATAATTACCCTGAATAAAAACACATTTTTATTCACTTACCACTGATGATTATCTTCTCAGCAGGAGTGATTTTGTGAAAATATTATAGAATTTAGAAATAGAATACCAAGAGTTCAACTCTTAATTTTCTGACTTTGATCTTGAGCATCTCATGAATACCCTTCAGCATTGTCATTATCTTATTGGGTGAATGATAAAGTGTTGGTCCACCTCACAGGACAGTCTTTTAAAGTATATACTGTTGCATGTACTTGAATGTTGATGATATCTCTTTGGTTTTGTATGCTAATATTTTGTGTGTGTGTAGCAGACTCTCATGTCGCCAGGCTGGCCTCAAACTTGTAGCTCAATGATGTGTCCTGCTTAGGACTGTTTCTGTAATAAAACTGCTGCCAGGACTGAGCTAAAAAAATTACTAAAACAGCTAGAAATCCGAGTTTTAAATGATTGAACTTTAAAATTTCTGACTATGGATAGTCTGTCTCTTTTGTGGTATCTGCTACCCCCCTCCCCTACACACACCACCATCACTTTGGCTCTTGAATGTTCACCTGAAAGCTCAGTGATTTCTGTAAACGTTGGAAAAATATTTTTAAACTAGTTTCTTTCTTTATCAGGTTATCAACACTGGCATTAGCATGGCTCCAAATGTTAGTGTGGAAATAATGGTGCCAAATTCTTTTCTCCCTCAAACTGATAAGTTGTTCAACATTTTGGATGTTCAGGTAAAAATATATTCCCTCTATCTAACCGTTACTGTGTGTTAAAGACCAAATAAGTGATAATCCTTTATTCTAAATAATATTGCAGAGCTAGACATGTCTGCTTACTTATTACAGTGATACTCAAAGCTGTGAATTCCCCATGCATCATGCATTAACTGAGTGTATCTTGAATTTTAGACAATGTTTCAGAACCCTAGACCAGAAGTGGGACCTATGTATTGCTTTATATAATCAGAAAACTTTGTTCTGTGATCTTTATTAATTATTTAGCTTAGATCATTTTCTTTGGGACATGGACCTACGGAAGTAATTTAGTTTGTAGACTATCTCATAAAGCTTGAGGCCACTGTTGCACGATCAGGAAGGACAGCACTTTATAAGGAAGCAACATTTTAATCAGTTCTTATACTGATTTTCTCATATTGGTTCATCAAAAATATTTTTACTTCCTAGTATCAAGAAATAGCTATTACCAGAAAATCTATTAAGTAAATTTGAAATCTCAAAAAAATTATTTGAATTTTAGATTTAGATGGAAGGAATATAATTATATCATTTCATTTTGTGAAGTTTATTTTGTTTTGTGACTACAAAGAAATATTAAATTCAGGCTAATGTTTATATGTCACTTCTCTTTCCACATTTCTATAAAGTTAGCATGTTGTCAGCTATAGTGGTAGGAACCACCAGAGTTTTGTTGGGGTTTTATTCGAGATTTTGCTACAGAGATTTAATTTTTCCTAAATAATTGTTAAAAATACTTTCAGAATTTCAGAGATGCTGAATGTAATTTTAGAAAAACTAAGCTTCTAGAACTTTGAAAACCATGTTGTGTCTGTTCTCTCCAAAGATGAGAGGTAACCTTTTTCTTGCTTTCTGTCTTTATAGACAACTACTGGGCATTGCCACTTTAAACCTTATGAACGAGAGTGTACATCTGTGCAGCAAAGGGGTGCAGCGGGGACCTTGACGGACATACTCAAATTCTTGTCAAAGACGGATAAAAGACTTTTGGTAGGTTCCCAGCCTTCAGGTTGGAGTTTCTGTTTTCCTACAGATAACTAAGACACGTAAAACAGATCCAGCGGGTTCCAGATGACAGATGAGTGGTAAGAGAGAACAAATTTGGGTAATATCCCACATGCAAGGAACAAGCATGTCTGAGTGCTGATGTGGACCCAAGATTAATTCTCAGTTTCAGCATCTAACAAATGCTCCCATGTGCCAGAACCTTCCCACTGCTGAGTCACCCAGGAAGCGTCTATGGCAGGAAATTAATTCTCGATTTTCTCATTTGAGCAAATTAATGAGAGAAACTGGAAAAGCAATTGCCATCAAAAGGCTCATGGTGTATAACAAATACAGAACATGCAACTTAGCAAGGCTCTGACCAGGAAACTTTCTTTTTATTGTGCCCCAGAAGGTTAAGTTACTAAGAATGACAGAACATGTGCTGCAATTTGAGCACATTGTTATCATTTAATAAAACAAAAAATATTTGTTTTATTTAAAGCAAAATGATTTTTAACTGACACTAAGAATAGCACATGCCTATGTTTGCTAAAAGGACAGTTTCCTAAATGACACTAATATTAAAAAAATATTTAGTTACATTTATTTGTGTGTGTATGTGTATGCACCCATGTAGGATGGTGTATATGTGGAGGTTAAAGGACAACTTGCAAGGGGTGATTCTCTCCTTCCACCATGTGGGTCCTGGAGATTTGAACTCAAGTCTTCAGGTTTCACAGCAAGTGCTTTTACCTGTGGAGCCCACTTGCTGGTTCATTAAGGAGATTTTTAATTTATATAAAATATTTTTAACTTAAAATTTTATTGTTAATTTGTGTATGTGCAAAAGAGAATGAGAGTGTGCCACGATGCATACCTGGAGGTCAGATGGCAACCTAGGGCGTACATCCTCATCTTCCACCTTGTTTGAGACAGACCCTCTTTGTTGCTGCCAGCCCCATTCGATAGCATAGCTGGCACTTGAAAATTCTCTTGTCTCTGCCTCCCATCTCATGGTAGGAACTCTGGAATCACAAGCACGTGCTTCTGTGTGGGTTCAGGGATTCGAGCTCAGATCTTCACACTTGCATGGTTAGCACTTTAGCTACTGGACTATCTCTTGAGCTCCCATTTTTTAAAAAAAAATGTGTACAGTTTTAATGTGGTGCTTTTGTATTCTTTTCAAGTACTGCATGAAAGCTGATATACACTGTTTAAATTTCTTATGTAATTTGGGGAAAATGGAAAGTGGAAAAGAAGCCAGTGTTCACATTCATTTGGAAGGTCGGCCATCCATCTTAGAAATGGTAAGTCTAAAATATATGGGTAGCTTTGTGTTGTGGATAACTTGACACAGAATCTATAAACTCAGCCTTTTTACATAGACAGAATGGCATAAAAGCATCCAACAAATTATAAAGATAGGAATACAATTTTGGAAGAAAGCTCAAATCTTATTTCTATTTATTACATCAGCTGGCAGAGATCTAAGCTATAGAATAATTAGGTTCAGTTTAGAAAACATGAAAGTGTCTATGAACCTTAATTAAATTGAATTAACTACTTTTAACATTTCATGTGACCTTAAAGTTTGTTCTATGCTGTGTTAAATCAACCTTAAAAATCTAATGACTAAAAAATAAAACTAAGAAGTGAAATAAAAATTTGATTAAAAAAAATCAAACTGAAACATCAAAATTTATCAGTTAAACCTGGGTATAGTGGCTCAGGCCTGTAATCTCAGGAGGATCACAAGTTCGTGTCATCCTCGACTACATAGTGAGTTCAAGATCACCCTGAGCCACATCAGACCCTGTCACAAAAACAATTTAAGAACTATAACAAAATTCAATAGTAAAAATATACTTTTAAAATAATGAACTTTGAAAATTTAAATTAAAGAATAATTCAAAGCACCCTGGATTTTTACCTGTGAAAGTGTGTGTGTTTTTATGGAGAACTTTTAGATGAAGCTAGTTTTAGCTGAAGTCGCTTTTCACTTTCCTCATCTGGACAGTGGATAATATCAGTCAATGGGGTTGCAGATTAAATGAGATGAATTTTGTTCACTTTTATTAGCAGTCCACAATACATATGAAGCCAAAAGAAATGGCAGCTATTAGATTTTGAGTAGAATTTTTAAATTACCACACAGTGATCAAAAGGAATATTCATCAGACAGACAAGGAGACATGTCCATCCACTTTGGTTTCAACTGTGCTGAAAAGTCATGGGACCCACAGCAAGCCATTCAACCTTGATATCTGCATCTAATACTTTCCAGGTTTCTCACAGTGGTACTAGCAACATTTTAGACAGAAATTTCCTTGTAGTCAGAGGCCATCATACACTTTTCAGGGCATTTCCCAGTGCCTACCCACCAAGTAGTTAACATCCCCACAGCCAAGGACGCCTCCAGACTTTGCATGACATCCCTAGGGGATCAGCCCTCCATGAGGAAAGACATTGCTCTAGATCAAGGTGAACTTTGCAATTTCCAGCTCTAAAAATGTTGAATAAACTTCACACACTAGGTTTTAGCTTTGTAGGTCACCAACCCCATTAAGAATCTAGAGACTAGGAATGGGGTATACTCACTTGGAAAGCATACACAGAGCCCTGGGTTGAACCCTTAGTACCACATACACTAGATAAGGTGAAAGACTAGAAGGCACTTGGCAGGTGGAGGCAGGAAGATTAGAAATTCAAGGTCATTCTGAGCTACATAGAGAGTTGAAAGCCAGCCTGGGCTACATGAGATCTTGTCTCAAAACATAGTAAAGGTTCTAGAGACTATATTTTCATTCCCTCCCTTATAAATGCACAAGTGAATATATATTTGAAATATTCATAGAATCTATAAAGCTCATCTACAGGTCCCCAAGCTTCATGGATTCTGAGTTATAGGGGCCCTTCTTTAAATTCTAAAGCTCTGCATTCATCCAGTCTATAATTGAATTTCATTATAGTTAGTAGAGTATGTTTCCCTAAGACACTAAGTTGGATGCATATATTTCATTTAGAAAGAAGTGAAAATAATAGAGCTGGGCTTGGTAGGGCACACCTTGAATCCCAGCACTCAGGAGGCAAAGGCAGGCGAATCTCTGTGAGTTCAAGGACAGCCTGGTCTATATAGTGAGTTCCAGGCCACAGCTGGGGCTACAACGAGACCGTATCTCAAAA